GGACACCAGTCCTCTGTCGGAGCCACACCATGTTTAATGGACAGGTATGTGAGATATCGGTCCTCTCCTGGACCCGTGCCATGATTGATGGGCAGGTATACGGGATGCAGGTCCTCTGCCAGAGCCGCGTTGTTAATGGTGAACAGGTATGTGGAATGCCGGCCCTGTGCCAGAGTCACACCGTGGTTGATAAGTTTGCTGGCCGAGTCACACCATGATTGATGGACAGGCAGAGTATGCAGGATGATGGTCCTCTGCCGGAGCCATGCCGTGATTGTTGGACAGGTATGTGGGACGCTGTTCCTCTGCCGGAGCCGTGCCGTGATTGATGGGTCCCCCTCCCATACTTAAGCGACAACTTTAGCCTAAGTTTATGTCGACTCTGACCTGCACTGGGTGATGGGGCTTGAGGGGCAGATAGAGCTACTGGTGATTTTAATTTAAAATTGGTGGAAATAGTGGTGAGTATGGCTTGTAATTTGTCATTTTCAAGCAGGTGATGTGATGCTTTTGAGCAGTGAGGTTATAGTTTTACACTGTGTCCATGTTATATATGGGGTGTGGACTGAATGGCTAATGGTAGCTTGTTGGTATAATTGCTGAGGTACCCTGAGCAAGGTACCGTCCCCAAGCACTGCTCCCCGGGCGCTGAGTTAGCTGCCCCCTGCTATGAAAGTCACATATGGGTCAAATGCAGAGGACACATTTCGTTGTTGCGCACTGTGTGCTGTGGTGTGTTGACAATGACCACTGATCACTAAATTCTAATTCTAAATTCTAAATTCTAATTCTAATTGTTATAGGATGCTTTCCTGAAACATCTCCTTCTCCTTCATTTGGATGTGGTTGCAGAGCGTGTCTGAGCGTGGGAAACCTGTGATGGTGATCCGCACCCTTGTTTATGTGTTGGCAGCGATTAAATGTAGCTTTACGAGGGGCCTTAACCTGGGCGTTATCAAAATGGGTCTGTTCTCGACAAGTCGTGTCAAACCGAGGCGTACTGACAAATGCACACGTTGGCAGAGTGAGACGTAGTTTATGTGCTCCGTGTGCCATGGTAATACAGTTTTTCTGTGTTTTACTGGGATGGGAAAACACCTTTTTTTTTGCCGTCCTGTTAACGGAAATAGATACAGGGTGTGCCATGCATTAAGGTTGATTAATAAAGTTTCCCTGTAAGCCATGGATTGTTTGTAAATTGGATCCTGTCTTGCCCTAAGTAACATTCCACAGCACCCTCCCCTGAACACCACAGCTGTCTGAACCTGTGCTGGACTGTCAGAGCTGATGTGAACAATAACACTTAAGATGTTATAAGCTTCGAGGCCTCGAGCGAAAGATTATGAAGGGGTGGGAGGGGATGGGTGTGGGGCTGTGCAAATATCACTGGACCCATCCTTCTGCGTCAAGTGGAGCCTATAAATGGGAGTCGCCTCAAATGAGCTGTACCAGACACTGCTGTAGGAACACCAGAGACCAGCCTGAGCGGCTCAGAGCCCAGCTTGGAGCCCAGGTTCCGGCTGGAGGGAGGCGCCGTGATTCTGGTCGAGGGCAGTGGCGGGCCTGAAACAGGGACGGTCTTCTGCCATGCACAGCAACCTAACCTACTGCAGCAGTGATAGTACGCTGACCAGCATCGGTTCCTCGGAGAACCTGCTGTCCGGGTCTTCTGACCCGATTCTTACCAGCACTCCACTGATACTCAATAACAGCACGTTGTACAGACCCAGGTGAAGCTTTCTGATAGCCCACACTGTTTTTTTCATTTATCTTGTTTGGAAGTTTTATCCACTTCTTGCAGTCCGTGACATCATGAGGTAGAGCCTCGTCCAGGGTGCTGGAGGCTCCTATGGCTGAGGCTGTTGTTACATTTTTCCTTTTCTTTTGTTTACTGTTGTATAGCTGCATCGATTGTGGTGATGCAAATTGAAAATGAGTGACAGCGTTCTCTTGTGCCACAGATGCATTTTGAATGTAACGTCTTTGATTCTGACCTGTAGCATCTGCTGTTCTCTTTTCCAGACTTGACATGCTGCAGCAGATTGCCAACAAGGTCCATCAGGATTGTGTGTCCGGGGAGAACAAGCTGGCACTGGCCAGAAGTGCCTTGCAGTCTGTAAGTGGTTAAGGTTCTCTGTCTGGACAAAAACATTTTCAAACATTTTCGTGTGCTTCTTCATAAATCAGATGCTAATTTTAGCATGTTATGAGCCAGGATGCAAAACGACTAGAATCTGGAATCCAGTTCCAGCACGAATCCGATGTGGCTGGATACCTGCTAGAGTGTGAGAACCTCTTGAGGCAGCAGGTTGTGGACATTCAGGCTCTTCTGGATGGGAAGTTCTATCTGGCAGACCAACTCCTTCAGAGGTACCGTTTAACCACTAGCCACTGACAGCCTTGTTATTACATTAATAAATATAGCATATTGTGAGTATTTAATTAATAATGTTATAATTTAATTAATAATATTATCATGACGTTGTTAAGAGTATTTCAATGTTAAACGTCCCATGAGCTGATGCTACACTGACTTGAGTAGCCTGACTTCTTCTGGCATGCTGTTCTGTCTCTTCCATCTTGAAGGGTGTCAAAGCTACGAGATGATCTGCTGGCCCTCAGGACGGAATGCAGCTCGATTTACAGCAAGGGCCGCACCCTCACGACGGAGCAGACCAAAATGATGATCTCGGGAATAACGCAGAGCTTAAACTCTGGCTTCTCCCAGGGCATAAGCATGGGCCTCACTCCCGGCCTGACCACGGGCAGCCTGGTATCCCCTGGCTCCACCTTTACCTCCAGCCTGGGCTCGTCCCTGATGCCCGGGCTCACGCCTGGCATGCTGCCCGGCAGCATCCAGAGCTACGTGGCCAGCACAGGGGGCATCGGTGTGGACCACGGCACTCTTCATCATCTCAAGCACCTGCAGATCCGGAAGCCGCTGGGCAAGTCCTCACTGGTGGACCCCAACCTGAGTGAGGAGGAGGTCAATATGAAGTTTGTCCAGGACCTCCTAAACTGGGTGGAGGAGATGCAGGTGAGAACTCTGGCCATGGCACCTTTAGCTCTATATGAAGATTAGTGTCTGAGAGTGATTTTATAAATGGCATAAATGCCCCTTTTCCGTTTGTCTCAGCAATATTAGCTGTTGCCCAAACCACAGTTTTGTAAACAAACACCAGACAATGTGTTTAGTAATGGATGAATAAACGGGCTGGTGTTTCCTGTGAAGGTCCAGCTGGATCAGACTGAGTGGGGTTCAGATTTGCCAAGTGTTGAAATGCATTTGGAGAATCACAAGAGCGTGCATGGAGCGATCGAGGAATTTCAGATGAGCCTCAAAGAAGCCAAAATTAGTGAGGTGAGGATTCATTAAGTGACAGGATAATGTAACATGTATACCGTAAACATGTAAATGTTTTAGGTTTTTTGGAGATCTTTAAATAACAATGGACATCACAGGGAAAATCCTTTAATGGTGCGTTTTCTTCCACAGATCCAGATGACCCAACCTCTGAAACTCAGCTACTCTGAGAAATTGGGCAAGTTAGAGAGCCAGTATGGGAGGCTCCTGGTGAGTCTTCACTCATTGTTCATGGGCACCTTCACAGAATGAGGACAGGAGCACTGTGAACTGCAACTGAACATGAGGGCTTTTCTGCTCCATCAGAACTCCTCAAGGAACCGCCAGAAGTACCTGGAGAACCTCCACGAGTTTGTGTCCAGCGCGACGCGGGAGCTGATCTGGCTCAACGAGAAGGAGGAAGAAGAGGTGGCGTATGATTGGAGCGACCGGAACAGCAGCATCTCAAAAAAGCGGGATTACCACGCCGTGAGTCGCAGCCCTCCAACGGCCTCGTTTCCAGTTCTTCCGTGAACATGACCAGCCAGGACAGGCATTCCTGTCCGCAGCACAGGCTTGTTCTGGAGCTGACTCTCTAGCAAACTGCAGCACTTTGCTTTGGCACCATAGGCTGACATCTTACGTCCTCTTGCTAATATGCTTCGAATATCTTCCATTGCCAAAGAAAATAGGAGAAGGAATGTTATTGGCTTGTGGTCTTCAAAACTATACACTATAGAAAGTAAAGAATTCATTTATATAAAAGAAAGGCTTGTAGTCTGTGTATATTGGAGTCATATGTACAAGAAGTGTCTGTGTGTGTGTTTGTGTGTATGTCTGTGTGGTCCCGGTATGCCTTACCTTGTGGGGACCAAATATCCCCACAACGTGATGAATACACGTTTTTTTTTTTTTCCTTATGAAGACCAGTTTCCTGGTCCCCATATGGGAGAAAACTTTTATAAAAATCCATGACTGCAATGAAAAAACTAAAAATACAAAAACTCTTGTATTTTGTTTGGTTACTTATGGTTATGGTTAGGGCTGGGTAGGGGTTGTCATAGTTAGCATTAGCATTTTTCCCAGAGAAATGATTGACCGGTACCCAAAAAGATATGATTACACGACAGTGTGTATGTGTGCATGTACTCAATGCATTACTTCATGTTCTGATAGACTGTGGTAGGTCTAAAGCAGACTTCTGACAGTATTGTGTACTGCGGCAGTGAGTACATTAGTGTGTGGTGTGATTAGGGTGTGTTTGCATCTCGGGATCTAGGCCCTGAGGTGTCTGGTCTTGCTGTTACAGGACTTGATGAGGGAGCTGGAGGAGAGAGAGATGGCAATCAAGTCTGTGCAGGACAAAGCAGAGTGCCTGCTTCTGGAGAGCCACCCGGCCAGGCTGACTATCGAGGTAAAGACTTGTCACCCGGAATGTTCTACAACTTTTGAGAAACTGTGCTTGGTGGTCATGTTTACGTCAAAATTTTGTTTTTATAACAAATAACTAAAAAGTCTTTCTAAACAATCAGATGGTTGAGCAGAACTTGGCAATGGGCCTCCCTTCAGCCCCTAGTTTAACTTCACTCTCTGACCAACTAATCACAGGCATACCGCGCCGCCATGCAGACACAGTGGAACTGGGTCCTGCAGCTCTGTGGCTGTGTAGAGCAGCATCTCAAGGAGAACGCCATCTACTTTGAGGTGAGTCTCCCCACCTCCCGCGATGCTAATTATCTGTATGAGAATCGGGACTGGAACTCTATCTGGTCTTTCTGCTTCATTGCCAGTTTTTCACTGATGCCAAAGAATCCTTGGATTATCTGAAGAACTTGCAGGATACCATCCAAAGGAAGTATGGCTGTGACCGGACTAGCAGCCTACATAAGCTCGAAGACCTAGTTCAGGAATCTATGGTGCGTAGAAAGAAAAGGAAGCCGTAATATGACTCGAGATTAGAGGGAGTGTTAATATGTGGTTGGACCTTCAGTTAGTGAACCTCTGGCTGTGTGTTTGCCCCTCTAGGATGAGAAGGAGCAGCTCCTCCAGTATCGCAGCACCATAGCGAGTTTGGTTGGCCGTGCCAAGGCCATAGTACAGCTGAAGCCCCGCAACCCCGAGAGCCCCATCCGGACCTCCATTCCTGTCAGGGCCATCTGCGACTACCGACAGATTGAGGTACCGCTCTTCTCACATTTGTCATGGTAGCTCAAAGATGGCAGCTGTGTGGTGATCACAAACCCCCATAAAATCGAACTTTCAGCAACTCTTATAACTTGCAAGTCAGCTTTTTGTCACTAAGTTGAATATATTGATGAGAAAAACATGGGACCTCTTCCCCTCTTTACTTGGGTGTTTTATCCTCACATCAAGTGTTGAAGACCTGTTGCCTTTGGTTCTTCCTGGCCTTTTCCAGATTACTATATATAAAGATGACGAGTGCGTCCTGGCTAACAACTCGCATCGAGCAAAGTGGAAGGTGATCAGCCCAGCTGGGAATGAGGCCATGGTCCCTTCTGTCTGCTTCACCGTGCCTCCCCCCAACAAGGAAGCAATGGAAACGGCTGCCAGGTGGGACAGGCCCCCAGTAGTGGATACCCAGTTCTGGGAAAGTGGATGAATGGTTGGATGTTTAGTAATGCTGTATGACCTTTCTCCCATTCCCTTTTTAGGACTGAGCAGCTGTATCAGAACGTTCTTGCTTTGTGGCACCGGTCCCATGTCAACATGAAAAGCGTGGTTGCGTGGCACTACCTGATGAACGACATCCAAGCTATCCGCAAAAGCAACGTTGCCTCCGTATGGATGTTTTATGTGGTTTCTTTAGGTTTCTTTGGAGCAAGAGTTCCCTTATTACATATTGATATTTCCAGTCTGTTCCATATGTTATGTAATTTTTTTTAACTTAAACCTTCATTCACTCGAAGTGAGAAAATAGAACAATTCTGTGGTTTCCTGGTTTACAGGGTCATCAATTTGAAGTCCTAATGCTTCTCCATTCTGACAGCAGTGAGATGTTCTCTATGCTTTCCAGATTGTTCATAGTTTCCTCCCTGTTCTGTAGATCAAGACCATGCTCCCAGGTGAGCACCAGCAGGTTCTAAGCACCCTGCAGTCCCACTTTGAAGGCTTTCTGGAGGACAGTGAGGAGTCTGAGGTTTTCTCACTTGCGGACCGCACCCATCTGGAGAGGGAGGTGCAGGCCTGTAGAGAGTTCTATGAGGAGCTGCTCAAGTCTGCAGAGAGAGGCAAGAAGGTTTCTCTAGTCACATGTGGTCCTCCAAGGGTTCCCCTAGTCACATGTGGTCCTCCAAGGGTTCCCCTAGTCACATGTGGTCCTCTATGTGCTCCTGTAGTCACATGTGGTGCTCTAAGTTTGTTAGGCATAGAGTAAATCCCTTTTGGAATTTGTACTTTTCTTGCTGTGCCCTTGATCTTGAACCTTGTAGAATTTGTGAGTGGTTTGTGTGATTATATGTGTTCCACTTAGACACTTTGCAATATTGCACAGTAAGATAAAGTTGATGATTCCCCCATTCTTTCACAGTCCTGTGATCACGTCCCAGTTGGATTGTGTCAAGTCATGCTGAGGTTTTACACTGACTGAGACTTACTCTTTTTGCCCTCTTATGGGAAACAGAGGAACAGGAGGAGTCTGTATACAACCTCTTCATCTCTGAGGTTCGCAACTTCCGCATGCGCCTGGAAGGCCACGAGGAACACCTCATCCGTCAGATCCGTACTCCCGTGGACCGGGATGACCTTCAGAAGAGCATGATGCGCATCGCTGAGCAGGAGGTGGGTGTGCACCCATCAACAAGCTAGTTTGTGAAAACCTCTCACATAATATTAAAGGAGCAGGGGGTCACAGCACCATAAATGGTGGATCAGGGGATGATTAAAGGAGGTGCCTGGTTGAGGAATTAAACTGGGTGTTTGGGCATTTGTTGTTGTGGAAATTCATTTTTAGGTATTTGGCTATCGTATCCCTAAACGCACATGTTGGTTCCTTTCATGGCAATTTGCAGAGGATGAAGAAGGAGTTGGACCAACTGAAGGAGGACCTGGAGACCATGAAGGTGAAGTGTGAGACATTCATCAGTCAGGCCTCGACCTCACCATCGGTCCCCAACCTCTCCTCTGAGCTGAATGTCCTGATCCAGAGCATGAACCAAGTCTACTCCATGTCCTCAATTCATCTGGAGAAGTATGTTTCAAGCTTCTTTGTGGTTATCTTGGTTGTTCCATTTTTATGAACCATCTCAGTACTGGGTTACAGGAATTCTGAGTGACGTTGATGTTGATTTTGTGGCATTTGCAGGCTGAAAACTGTGAGCTTAGTGGTGAAGCACAGTCAGGAGGCGGAAGGGCTGGTGAAGCTGTATGAGGCCAAACTTTGTGAGGAGGACACTGTGAATGCTGACATCAAGGCCATCGAGATGGTTATGAGCACTCTCAAGGTGGGGCTCCCCACGATAGCATCTCATGGATGGGCATTGATGATGCCATTTTGCAGTTTCAATGTGCATTTAATGTGTCTTACAGGTCTCTTCTTGATCATTTCAAGTCTGTTTATGCCAGAGACCCTTAAAGTGTGTGAATCACTATGCACTAATTGAGCTGTCCTTGTAATCACAGTGTTTGTCATATGTTTTTAGCAATGGCGCACAGAAATTGACGAAAAATGCGAGGTTTTCCATGAGTTGGAAGATGAGCTACAGAAGGCCAGAAACATTAGTGATCGCATGTTCAAGACACACAATGAGCGGGACTTTGACCTGGACTGGCACAAGGAGAAGGCTGATCAGCTTAGTGAGAGATGGATGAGTTTGCATTCCCAGATTGAGAACAGGTTTGTAACAGAATTCCTTATCAACTCATCGTGATTTGATGAACGAAGCCTGAAGGATTTCCTTTTTTTTTATTTTCAGACTTCGTGACTTGGAGGGCATTGGTAAGTCTCTGAAATACTACAGAGAAACCTATCACACCCTGGATGAGTGGATCAACGACATGGAGACAACACAGCTGAAGGCCCAGCAGCAGCAGCCGGAAGACAGCAAGGCCCTGGCAGAGCTGCTCAACCAGCAGAAGGTGGAGAAGGACACAAACTGGTCACTTATGGCTCCTTCATAACTAACCCACATCACAGTTCTTATTTCATGACTAGAGACCTGAAGTGGGCCTTTCATTATGTTAGGCCTTTGAATTCTTCTTAAAACCATTATATTACACTGTCACAAGTGAATTGTTGTGATTTGCCGGCTTGCTGCTTGATGCCTTGCAGGTCCTCATCTCAGAAATCGAACAGAAGCAAAGCAAGATTGATGAATGCCAGAAGTATTCAGAGCAGTATTCTGCTGCTGTCAAGGTGACTCTTTGTACACGTGCTAAATATGTGACTTTTATTGTCTGGTAAACCACCAGGCTCATTGAAGTTGGAAGGTCAATGTTGTATTGCTCTGAATAAAAATTTACCTTGAAACAGCTGACTGACTCTTTCAAAACACCTTTTTGATATGGGTAAACATATGAATCAGGGTTAAATGTTCCTCAAACTGCTTCTGGTGCCTGAATTATGGACACCAAGGATTCCGTTTGTTTTGTCCAGGACTACGACCTGCAGCTGATGACCTACAGGGCAATGGTGGACTCACAGCACAAATCCCCCGTGAAGCGGCGGCGGGTGCAGAGCTCCTCTGATGCCATCGTACAGGAAGTGAGGGCCGTTCTGCTCCAGTCAGGTGGAGTTTGCGAGTCGCGTTGGGGTCCCTGTTCTGAGAATGGCTGCTTCTGCTGTCCTTGCAGTTCATGGAACTGCGGACTCGATACACAGCTCTGGTGACCCTCATGACCCAGTACGTGAAGTTTGCAAGTGAGAACCTGAAGAGGACTGAAGAGGAAGAGGTAGGGGATTTCTGTGGGCCTCACAAGACATCCTATTCCGTTATTTCCATTATAGTGCTAATGCTGGTTCAGCTAAAACTATGAAGTACTTTTCACATACACTATAAAAGTGTAGTAAAAATTGTAGTATTGCTGAATTTCACTAGTATTCTGTTTTCTTCCTGTACTTCACATAGATAATGAGGCTTGTCTTTTGTCATACCTTTGTGTGGCTTGGACCTTCATGGTTACGGTTTGAATGGATTTCTGGTGGTTTGTCTGCATGGCCGTTCATTGCATTTGCCTTTCTGATCCTTTACATTCCTGCTGGTGTCTCCAGGCAAACTAACACAGCTAGGGGTGATCACCCGCCAGAGTTTGGAATATGGGATACTAGTGTAATTAAATTCCCAATTATTTCATTTGTTCTTCTCGTTCTTGAAGGTTTGAATTTTTATGATGCCTTTATTTTTAATGTGTTTATAATATTTTATATTCATTTTTGAGATACAGATAAAATTGTAAATAAATTATAAATGATGTTGATTTAGCATTTATGGGCTAAAATGTATGAAATCTCTGAACTTTTTTTTGAAGAAGTGTTATTTTATTGTATTTTGATGCAATGGTTTTTTATTGTGTGTTTTTTTTTATGTCATTTTCATCATATTTTGTAGACAGTGATTGATGTTGTTAATTCCTCTTTCTACATTGTTCCTAGTCGGGTTTTCTGAGTCTGAAATGCTGATACAAAAGACATGTTCTTTTGTATTGCTGATGGTGATGGATATTTTCCTGCTACAAAATGGTGCTTTGTAGTAAATGCTAGAAAGTCATAGGAGCTTTTACATGCTGAAAGGTGGCGGGGGATTCTTGGTGTCGGAGCTAAATGCTTCACCACGCTGAGTACGCAAGCACTGGTCACAAAGTCCTAGCCCTTCACTTTCTCTGCCGGACATGAGCATTAGATGATGATGTCTCTTATTGTAGAGGAGGAAGGCCTCAGAAAGGAGTGAGTATATCACCTTGACACAGAGTATAGAGATGCAGAAGGCGGCCAGTGAGGAGGAGTTGGTCAGGCTGAAGGGCACCGTGTTGGAGTTGGAGGCAGTGTTGGCTGAGAGGCAGCAGCGCCTCGAGCACCTCGAAGGGGAACTGGAGGCCCATAGGAGGACCATCGATGACCTGACCCTCCAGAAGTCCAAGGCTGAGTATGAAGTGAAACAGTACCGTTCAGAGCTGGAGGGGGTAGTCAAAGGCAAGGCAGCCGCTGAGCTGGAGCTCAGCCGAGCACGACAGCTTGTTCAGCAGTCCGAGGCAAAGCACTCCGCCCTGGAGTCCAGCCTGAAGCTGCTGAAGAGCAACATCGAGGAAAGCACACTGCTCAGGAGGAAGCTGGAGAAACACCTGCGGAGGAAGGACAGTGATGTGCAAGACCTGGAGGAGCACAAACGCACTCTGGAGCGGGAGCTGAGGGCCAAAGAGAATACCGAGGCTGAGTTGATGGACTTGGTGCGAGGCATGGAGGTGAACCTGGCCCTGAAGTCAGAGTCCAGGGAATCCTCAAGTGACCTGCACATGTCCGTTGTGAGGGAGACTGTGCATCAGTGCAGCTTTGCCAGTGCTAACCTTCTGGGGTCAGACATGACGCTTCAGCATAAGATCGAAGAACTGGCCATGGGAAAGAAGAGGGCTGAGTCTGAAGTCAAGACGTTGAAGTCAGAGCTGAATTCGGTGCTGGTGCAGAAAACTATGGCTGAAGAGAAAGTGCAGCGTTTCAAGGAGCTTTTAGATGATGCGAATGGCAGGCTGAAGAAGCTCCAGATGGAAATGGACTCTGAAAGAAGCAGTAACAGACAGAGGCTAGAGGAGCTGAGGCAGGAAGTTACAGAACTAAAGAAGTCTGTTTATGTCTTTCAAGAGCAAGTAAAGTCCTTGCAGAGAGAGAAATCATCCCTGGAGCAAAAAGCCATCTTCCATAAAACTGAAGTTGAAGGCTTGAAGGAGCAGTTAAAAATAAACCATGGAAAGTTGGTTCAGAAGAGCTCTTTGGAACAGGAAATAAATCACAAGATGCGCTGCTTGGAGGACGAGCTATGCACGAAACAGGCTGATGGTGATTGTTTGAGATTTAAGGTCAACGAGCTGACGAGAAACAATGCTAAATTAGACAATGATCTCAGGAACCTGAAGGTTGCCATAGAAACCTTACAGCAAGAAAAAGCATATGCTGAACAGAAACTCAAAACCCGGAAGGAGGAGGTGGAGGGCTTGAAAGAGCTTCTCCAGAAAACCAAAGAAGACTTTAATCTGAAGACAAAGTCAGATCAGGAAATTCAACTTAAAGCTAGAAATCTGGAGATGGAACTTGAGAAAAACAGTCAAGTTGTTGTTCAGTTAAGAAAGAAGGTGGATGAACTAAAGAAAATTAATTTGGAGAGTGAGAGATCAATGAAAAATTTGAAATCAGAACTTGACAAGGTTTCCATGGAAATGGGCAGCAAAGACCAACATATCAATATATATAAATCTCAGGCTGAAAGTACAAAAACTCAAGTTAAAATCATAGAAGATGAACTACTAAAGAAAACACAAGCCTTACATGAGCTTCAGATTAAGCTGAGGGACTACAATGAAGAAGTCAGGAAAACGTCAGAACTACAGCAGAAAAACAATGCCCTCAGTCTGAGCATAGCTAATTATGAAAATGAAATCACAAACCTGAAATCCGAAATCAACTCTGTAAGCATTGAAAAGAAAATGGCTGACAAGTCAGTCCAAGAACAGAAGATTGAAATCAGTGATTTGAATCTGACATTAAGGAAAGCCAAGGAAGAAATTCAAAAGGAGAGCACAGAGGTTCGGAAATATTTTTCCAAAGTAAAGGAGCTAGAGAGTGAACTTTTGAAATATAAACAGACTATCAAAGAGATGACTGGAAACACTGACAGTATTACTTCAGATCTCAAGAAGGATATTGGCCTTCTTCAGAAGGACAAGGCGGCTGCGGACAAAACACTGATTACTCTCAAGGCAGAATTAGATGCTGTGAAAGCTTCTCTGAGGAGAACAACTGAAGAATTGCAGAAGGAAACCCAAGAGGGGAGGATGAACCAATCAAAAATCAAAGAGCTTGAAGGAGAACTTCAGAGGAACAGGCTGAAAATGAAAGAAATGACCTCAAGTTCAGAAAAGTTCTCAACAAATTTCAAACAGGAAATTTTAGTTCTACAGAGGGAGAGAAGTGCAGTGGAAGAGAAATCTCGGGCATTGACCTTGGAGGTTTCCCTGTTAAGACAGAAACTTGAGAAAGCACAGGAGGAAGTACGGCAGAAGCAGAAGGAATGTTCAGCTGCCCAGCTGAGGTCCCAGAAGCTAGAAGAACAGCTTGAAAATTGCAAACGGATGTTGGATGACTTAAAAGGAAAATTGGATCTGCAGAAAAATGCTTATGGAAGACACCTGGAAATATTCCAACAAGAGATGGAGCAAAAACTTCTGTTGAAAGAATCAGATGCCAAATTTGAATATGATAAGAAGTCAAGAGAACACATGTACAACACAGAAACTGCTGAAAAAGAAAAGAAATACTTGCGTCAAGAGATTGAGCAATTAAAAACTCTCAACGAGAGTACTCAAAAATCAAAACAGGAGACAGAGCAGCAAATAAACACTCTTCATTCAAAGGTCAGTCAAGTAGAGAAAGAGAAGAATGTCATCAACCAGGAACTAATTCATGCAAAAACTCGCATCACAGAATTAGAAACTGAAAACACAAAATTAACAGTGAGTATTTCTAAGATGGACAGCATCCAAAATGTCAGCTCTAAGGATAATCAAAGGCTGAAGGAAATGTTATCTGAGACAGAGCAGAAGTTAGCAGTAAGGGAAGTGGAAGCGAGGTCTCTGAAGGAGCAAAATGTGTCTTACGTAAAGGAGGTGCAAGGACTCCAGGAAAAGGTTTTAAAGTTGGAAGTCTCCACCTCCGAATCAAGAAAGATTAAAGACATGGATGGCAGGAGTAATAAATTCCACCAGTGTATGAATGATGATGAGATTACTAAACTGAAGAATGAGTTGCAGGTTGCGAAAAGGATGCTGTTATCTCATGAAGAGATTAAGGGTAAACAAGAGGAGGAACTAAGAAAAGTAAAGGTAAAAACTCTTTTCTTGACATTTTCGGTCCTTTTTCTTCACTGATCATTTTGAAACTTGAACTCACTAGACAATAGCAGTAGAAACATTGCAATTAATTTCAGAATTGTTTCCATTTACACACATACCTGTTTGCTGTGGAAAATGCTTAACTTCTAATGGTTCCAAAAATTTTGCATTTACAGATAGCAACCACAGAGAAGAAAAGAGTAAACGATAAACCAGTAATGACAGATGACAAGACTAACATTTATAACCAAAAGAAGATTCATAATGTCAGTCAGCATGTTAGTGAACAGGGACACTACGCTGTCACTGGATCCTCAACGTGTGCAGAAGTGCCCGCGGAGAAAGGCCAACCATGTAAATCCAACTCCATTTTAGCCGACGTCAAAGTGCATCTGGTTTCTCCAAACGTAAAGGATATAAAAGGCCTTGATGTGAGACCAGCTCACCTCATGGACAGTATTCAGCTTCACACCCTTAGGGGTCATGTGAGTATTCAACAGTTGGTGGCACTTAAGCTCTTAGAGAGTGACACCATCCAACAGTTACAATCAGGCCACAAAACCCTGGAAGAGGTACAGGATTCTCTTGCCAAATTCACCAGCAAATCATCTGCAATTGCAGGTGTTTACTTGGAGTCAAGCAAGAAAAAGATCTCATTCATGGAAGCTGCAGAGAAGGGTTTCATAGCGAAGACATACGCTATAGAGTTTGTTGAAGCACAGGCTGCTACTGGATGCATCATAGACCAGGTTACAGGGAAAGCCTATTCTGTCCTGGAAGCTCTTGATAAAGGGATTGTTTTGAGGGAGTTGAAAGATAAATTGTTAGATGCTGAGAAAGCAATCAGTGGCTACGTTCATGGTGGCAAGGTACTGTCTGTGTTTCAGGCAATGGAGGAAAGGATTGTCGACAGGCACAAAGGTAGAAAGATCCTTGAAGCACAGATTGCCACGGGTGGCTTGATCGATCCACAAAGTGGCATTCGACTGCCCCTGAACATCGCAGTTGAGCAGGGGTTTATAAACAAAGCCACCTTGCAGAGTCTTTATGAACCAGTTAGCAACCCCAAGGGTTTCCATAACCCAGACACAGGCCAGAAGGCTTACTACTGCGAGCTGCTCAGAACATGTGTCTTTGATGTTGATGGTCGTGTGTTACTCCTGCCTGTTGGTGACCGGCACCTCTCGAACATCACCCTCACTCGCACTCACAGAATATCAGTCATCAACAGCTGTTACGGTGCTGAAATGTCAACATATGAGGCATATGTGGACAAACATATTGACAGGAAGACCTACCTTTTGCTCTCGCAGCAGGAGACAGATTGGAAGGAAAGCTCTGTGATGGATTCAAGTGGCGGGATGCTGCACATTTTGACAGACTATAAAAGCGGAAGGCAGTTTTGCATTGAACATTCGCTGACTTTGAAGATGCTAGATAAAGCAGAACTAGGGAAATATCGATCAGGGCTCCTAAGTATTAATGAGCTTGTAGACATTTTGATTTCGAGGAAGACCATCTATGAAGATCCCCATTCTCCTATTGCTGGGCTTTGGGACTTCAGCCTAAAGTCAAGGGTATCCATTTATAAGGGGCTTCAGCAGAATCTGTTAGACAGACTTACTGCTGTAAGGCTGCTTGAGGCACAAGTGTGTACCGGTGGCATTTGTGAACCATCAACAGGAGAGAAGATGAAAGTGGCAGAGGCTGTTAGAAGAGGGCTTCTGGATGAGGCCTTAGCCCGCCAGCTCCTACAGTTTGAGCAAGCCTGCTCTGGCATCGTCCACTCACAGACATCCAAGATCCTGTCCGTGACACAAGCTATGCAGCAGAACCTGCTCCCAAGAGATATAGGCTTCAGGTGCCTTGAATACCAGTTCCTTACAGGAGGCCTGATCCACCCACAGACTCAGGTTCGAGTCAAGATGGAGGAGGCTATCCAGAGCGGCCTTGTCGAGGAGGCTGTTTTCCTGCAGTTGAAAGATGAGAAGTCCTATACTAAAAATCTGAGCTGTCCCAAAACAAAAAGGAAAATGTCATTCAAGGATGCCCTAGAAAAAGCCATCTTTGACCGTCATACTGGCCTCAAACTCCTGGAGGCGACCAAACTTCAATCTGTTGGCGCTTCCTCATCATTCCATTACATCTGGATGTATTGATGATGCTTGAATTACTGTAAGCCAGACAGCATAGGCTTAAATTTCACAACACTTGTATTTGATGCATATGTCAAATGAAAATGTAAATTAAGATATATACTGTTAATAATCTTAAAAAATGTAACAGATGGGATTTTGTCCTTTTTTTTTCTTTTTGTGACATTTCAATTGTGATTTAATGTACATGTATTCTATGAGGATTTATGTTTGTTTTGTATACATCTAACAATGGATTTTGATGAATCACTGAATCACAGCTGCTTCCATTGCTGTATTCACTGGTATATATTCATATTAAACAATAGCTTAAAATTATTACATGTTTTAAGGATTCTAACATTTTAATCAATCTCCTTACTCCATCTGACAGGAGCTTACCCTGTTCCTCAACACCCCAGGGGAAGGTTGTCCATGCCCCTCCCCTGTTGGCTTTTCCTTCCCTTTCCATTTCTGCCATTGTCACACATGCCACCACACTGACCTACTGTAACAGGCAATCTCTCTCCCTCGATCCCAGAAATCTGTAGACGACGAGAAGAAGGAGCACGGTGAGAAGGTCAATAAGCTGTTAAACTGGATGTCCAGTATGAAAAGGGGCCTTAGCAGAGAAGATAAGCCTGTGATAGATGGTAGCAGCAGCAGCAGAGAAGCACCTAGTCAGCCACAGGTAAACAGTCTGCTAAGGCCTGCAGTTCCCAGCCAGTGCTGTCATGTCTCCAGATCTACTCCAAATACTGTACATTACAGTATTTCTCAACAAACTTAGTCTGGTGAAACTTTTGTAGAACCAAGGTTTCTTTTTTGTCCCATTTGTGACGACCAGCAGTTTATCAACCCAAACTCAAAAAGGTGTTATCACTTCTGGAGTTTTCTGGTCAGTAGACTGTATGTTCATAAGCACCCCCAGAACCTAAAATGTCACAAGGCAAAGAACAAGACACGTTTCACACATTATATAACCTACATACCTAAACGGTTACCATAGATATATCCCCTTTCACTAATGCACATGTAACCATTTGGTTGTGTGCATAACTTCAGACAGCCACAGCTTAACAAACGCTTTCTCTGATAAATAAGGAGGAGCACTTAGAACATGAACATATCTTTTATCAGTTGACCTTGCTGTATGTACCGCAGCAGGGGAAAGTTGTTCTGCATAATTTTGATTGGGAACATTTATGCAGAATCACACAGAATAAAGTGGTAATGCAAGTTGAAGCGTGGCTGTTTGTCAGTGTTACGCCTCCACCCACCCCCCGTCCCCAACTTATGCTTTAAATTTGATTTATAGTACTCAGAGAATGTCGGGAGATACCGCCTTACGCCCAGCACCCACACATACCCTGCTGACTGAAATAAGTCAGGTCTCACAGTCAACTTTGAAAGTATATTTCACATGCATGGTACAGCCCAATTGGCAGTCAGCTGCAGGCTGTTTATGACTAATCATACATGTGATCATGGGAGGAGCCTCTGCAGTGAATCCTGCATTCGTCAGAGGTCCTAATGGGCACACTGCCACCTGCCACCATATCCTTACATTTCAAACGTTAACTGGGGGGTCAACTTCTGCTCAAGATCATTTACAGATGAGCTAACTGCCACCAGAGAACTAATTCATATCCTTTTTTAAACGATATGCTAGTTGATCCTGCCACTTTTTTAACTTGACAAATCTAGGATACAATTTGAAAGAGAGGAACTAAGGCATCCATTTTATGTGTTTTTATTTTTTTCCCAAGAAATGTTGTAACATAGTTAATTTATCACTGTAGAGTTTCTTCGGAAACTAAACTGAAAGAGAAAGTATATGGTGTAAAAATAAACCAAATCCTTAGGTGGTTGTCTAAAGTTTTTACACTACATTTTAAAGGGGCATCTGATAATCCCACTGCAGACTTAATTTGTGGTAGGACTTTACTTACTTCCCAAGAAGTGATGCTGGACACGTTGTTTGTCTGTTTAGTTTCTGTGAAGCTTTTGAGTCCACACCGAGAAATGGATGAGTGGCCAGGGGTTAGATACATGCAGTGCGGCTGTTTAACTTCTGCCTGCATTTCAGGTCTCGACAGAGGAACTTGGGGCGATGAAGGAGCAGGTGGCTGAAGCTCTGAGGACCACGCAGATGATGCTGAGCAGATTCAGTGGCAGGTGTGCTCACAGCCCCAGTAGAACCTTCTACTTCTTTAAAAGCAGATTCCTTTCCTTCCGGCTGGCTTTACATGAGCATGCCTGTGTGTTTTTTCCTATTAATGGTTAGTGTGACATTTTATGAACTTGTGAACGGGCATCCTAAGGTAGAACAAACACATGTTTCTCTTGTGCCTCCGTGTTGCAGGATGTCTGAGGAGGAGGAAAGGGAAATGAAAGAGCAGCTGAAGGTTCTCCACCAGGAGTACAGCAATCTGTCCCAGCAGTGTGTTGAGCAGATCCCTGCAGCTGACCTGGTGAGGAAACCACCGCCTCGGCCATTTGTGCTGGTGTCCACCAATGGCTGCATGATGCACAACTAACCGTTTTCTTTCTTTGTTTACTTCTTCCAAGCGTGACCTAATGCATGTGATGCCACATTTCTCTTGTTTCTTTCAAATAAGTCAAAAACGTCAGTCCCATGGGCTGCCGTCGGACTGTGCGTACATTGTGGGAATTGCAAAACCGCCACACAGGACTGCCTAGTAGTAGGTCCTCAGGAAGGAGTATGCTGTAAACATGCATAGCATGACCGTCTGTCACTCTCATCCTAACCTTTCACAGCAGCAGGTGAAATCAAGGTGCAGATACATGTCTTTTTATCGTCACAGGTGATCCTAAAGTTAAAACGATGCTCTCTGTTGTGTCTATAACTAACTTTGTTTTGGCGAAATGCAGAAATACTCTGTTCACAGATGCATGGCTGCTTTTAATGTATTCTTCACGCTGTTGAAACTCTGATACAGCCTTGCACTATTGCGTTGGCAACTCTTAACATTCATGTGCCTGACTGACTGGTGAGTACATATTCAATTTTGTTTTAAGTAGTAATCAGAAACCAGTATAATGTTAAATAGATATATCGATATATACTGTAGATATATAGTACAGTCAGTTTGAAGTTCGACATTCAAGGCCTTTTTTTTTCTTGCAGGATTTTCAGAACATTGAAGGGATACTTGAAGTAGCCAGTGGAGCTGTGTACAGTGTTTGTCACTCAGTACAGACTGGTCTCATTGACCAGTTTACTGGGCTTAGTCTGCTTGAGGCTCAGATGATTACATCTGGACTGATTATACCTGAATTCAGAAGGTGTGTGGATCTGGAGGAAGCTTATAAGCATAACCTGGTGGATGAAGCCACCTACCAGCAGCTACAACACTTGAACGAGGCCAACCGGTGTACCCTGAGTGCGAGGTATAGTTCAGAGCCATTGCCCATCATATCTGCAGTGAAAGATGGGACTATTTCGGAAGAAATGGCTATTAAGATAATCGAGATCCAGCTGGCGACAGGTGGATTAAGAGTAACGTACGCAAGGGACGTCCTGAACCTGGAAAGCGCATTTCAGTACGGCCTGATGCCCGCTTCACTGTTTGTCAAGGTACTTGAAAGGCAAAATAACTGGAAGGACTTGATCGACCCCAACACAGCAGAGAAGGTCTCGCTTATCCAGCTTGTGCAGAGGAGCTTCCTTCATGAAGATACTGGCCTCCGCCTGCTGCCGGTGAAGAAAGTAAGAGATGGAACCATATCTTTGAAGTCTGGTAGGGAGATCAGCATCCTGAGAGCTGTGCATGAAGGACTCATCGATCGAGAAACGATCCTCCGACTGCTGGGTGCTCAGTTGTTCGCTGGCGGCATTGTTGACCCTAAAACAGGCTTCAGATTGACTGTCGAGGAGGCCGTAGCAGAAGGCTTGATTGATCAGGACACTGCCTGTGGAGTGTTAAGCCTTCAGGTCCAGAATGGTGGCATTGTTAATCCTCACAATGGTGAAAGATTGACAATTGATGAAGCTGTGCAATGCAACTTAATGAGCTCCAGCAGTGCTCTCTTAGTCCTGGAAAGACAGAAAAGCTTTATGGGACTTATTTGGCCTCATTCTGGTGAAATCCTGACCGTGTCAACCTCTCTGCATCATGAAATGATAACCAATCAGGTCGCCTGCAAGCTGCTAAGCAACAGGCAGAAGATTGCAGCTTTTTACGTACCGGAAGTCTCTGAAGTTGTCAGCTTTGAATCTGCAACAGAGTACGGCTTGATAAACAAATGCACGTATAACGTGCTGAAAACTGTCCAAGTCCCCGATTCATTCCCTGATATTGATGAACCGAATGACACATTTTCCACAGGGCTCTCTTGGAGAGAGCTTCAGCTTGAAGGATCCCACCAAGGTGCAGAAGATCTGCCGATGGATGCAAAGAACGTTCTCGTTCCCTCACCCACAGAAGCAAGGAAGTTGTTTGTTTCGTACCTTATGATGAATAGCTACATGGATCCCAAATCAGGACAAAGGCTTTTAATATTTGATGGTCAATTAAATAAAATGGCTCAACTTTTTACAGAGAACATTATGGAACCCAACCTTGAAATGCAGCACAATGCCACTAATAATATTGATGACTTAGCCTCATGGGAGACATTAACAAAAGATGACACCACTGAGACGTTGACAGACGCAGACCTTTACCATGACAATAGTGTGGAAGATAAAGGCTGTTTGTATCTTAATGAAGACAGAATAGAGGAGGAACAAAGGAGCCCAGATGTGGGTGAGCTCATCTCATGTCATACAGCTAATGGGCAGTCCCAAGCTGTTTATGAAAAGCTTATAAAATCCAAGAGCTATGAGGCTGATACAATGGAGTCTAAATCTGAACTACAGGGTCTTTCTGAAAATGCACTTAAAACCCAGAAACAAAGCATTACTCACTCATACCAAAAAGGTGATGAACTGAAATGTCACGCTTTTGATGATTTAGATGTTTCTGAAAGCCAGGAAAAGCAAAATGAGAATGTAAGTCATGCCAAACAAACAGAAATGGTAGAGACCAAAGAGGAGACATCACCAACGTCCAGCTCAGAGGTTTGTTATGATACGGGTTCATGCTCAACAGAAGGAGTTTTAGTGAAAACAGATTCTCATCCTGTCAGAGCACCAAATGTTCAGCTAAACGTAGACGAAAACTCAGAGTCTTTAGTCGAACATCCAGAACAACTGGCATATGGTGACAGAGTTTGGCGAGAGAAGGAGGAGCAAGAATATGCTGTTCATCTCCTGAAGGCACAAGTTGAGGAAGGTGGAATTTTGGATGTCACATCTGGAAAGCGGTATGATCTCAATGCTGCCCTCAATAAAGGACTTGTAGATGAAGGAACTGCTTTGGAACTCTTAGCCTTACAGTTACACGATGATAACGTGCCATGCAATCAAACACAGACTCTTTTGACTCTGAAAAAAGCTGTGGAAAAGGGCTCCGTATCCTCAAAAGTTGCACTGCAGATCATGGAACAACAGAAACTTCTGGGGAGATTGTGTGACTCAGAATCTAAAAAATGCATTACTGTCAGTGAGGCTTTGGAGCAAGGTCTTATATCTGATGACCTGGTTGAAAGGATTTTCAGATCAGACCTGACAATTGGGGCAATAATGAATTCCATTATAAGTGATCTTAAATATGTTCAGGAAAGGCAATGTATTGACATTCTAAAAGATCCTAAAACTGACAGTCTGCAAGAAGAATGCACTGGGCCAGTGCAGTATGTCTGGAAGTATGAAGATAAGACAATGCAGACCTGTGACCTTACAGATGACCTGTTGTTTGATAGAACTGAAGGAGTATATGGAACAGATTATCAGTACATGTCAGTAAATATTAAGCACATGATAGAAGGTTCATGTTGTTTTGATGCTGTTAGTCAAGAAATTAAAAATAAACCAGGTGATCCATCCATTTCCGGTGAGGTAACGGAAGATCCCGCCATCGATGCAATGACTGATCAGTATGTGCATATTAAAGGCTCTGGATTACAACCATCTGTTGAAAGGAATTTATCTGACCAGTCTGGGCTGAGAAACTCTATCCATGTGAAGGACATGCTGGTTGAGAGCTCAGGCTTTTCCAGTGAGATTGATGAAGTCAAAGATGAAGATGAGACTGTTGCCACACTATGTTGTACACATTATGCAGATGAACCTACTAATGCACATGATGTGCAGCCTGAAAAACAACATGATGGATTTGGTACACATGAGAGCGCTGACTCTTGTGTGGCTAATTCATTCATGGTCTGTAAGGAAAATAGTAACACTTTTTTTGGTTTAGGAAATGGCCATCAAAATAATGATGTCATTGAGATGTCAAACGAGAAAGACTTAATCGACTGTCCCACAGACATGGTATCGGGTGAGGAGATGCCTTCTAACCTCAAAACTGAAACATTGACTCTGAATGCTTTTGAACCTGGGGTGCCTCCACAGGAGATGTTGGTAGTTCATGAAGAAACTGGCACAGCTGCTCATTCACACAAATCTGGAAATAGGCATCATCTAGGAATGGCTGAAGCTCAGGGGGATTTTTGTCTGACAGACTGTGCGGAACATGAGGGTGAAGGCAGTGAGAAAAGATTGGAGAACTTTCCAGCAAATGTAGATGTGGAGGACAGTGTAAAGGAGTGTTCAGCATTGATCACCAAAACGCATGGTTTATCCTGGGAGCCTGAAATGTTTGATTCAGCATCAGCCATTGAAATTCTTAGCTCAACACAGATATCCAAAATTCCGGTTTCATTGCAAATGACTGAAATGCTCAGTTCAGCACAGATCACTCAGACACATGGATTGTTACAGGCATCTGAAAATCTTGATTCAATGACTAGTTCAGCACAGGTATCTGAAATGCCTGTTTCATTACGCATCAGTGAAATGTTCGATTCATCACAGATCACTCAGCCACAACATTTATTACATGCATCTGAAAATCTCAATTCGGCTCCACTCAGTGAAATATGTAGCTCAGCACAGATGTCCGAAATGCACAATGCCACTCAGATCACTGAAATGCATGGTT